CTAAAGGGGGAGAGTGAGAAACTCAGATATCCAAAGGGAGCTTTTGGAAGAACCCCTTCTCCTTGTAGTTGAAATTAAAGAATTTGCTGGAGGAATTGCCCATCTTTTCCGGGCAGGGAACACCCCAGGTAGAGCTGGGTGTTGTTTACCCACCACCAGTACAACCTAATAAAATGACTAAAAAGGAGTAGATACATGTCTTTGATCATTCTCTGGTTAAATAATTACCCTGAATCTGTACAGGAATCTGCCAAGATCTATCCCTGACATTCTGACATCCCTAAGACAGTGGAGAGGGCTTGAGGAAATTAATGCAAATTTGTAATTATACTTCAGCAGCCATCTCAAAACACTTCGGTATCTTTTGGGTTTGATGGTTATCGGAGCCTTTTTCATTTCCTGCTAAACATTTCTTCAAATATTTGTATCCGCTTATGTGTCTGTGTAACTCCTTGCTCCTTGTCAGTATCCCTGTTTGAATGACGGGCTTGATGGAGAGTAGTTTACACACACTGATAAAATGAGCCAATATTTACCTAAGCAGGAACTTAACCTCACTGCAGAGTCCAAAAAGATGTGATCAGTGAAGAAAACGACTTCCGCTTTATATTTAATAGCCTACATTGAACAGTCCCACATTTTCGTATTAAATTGTGACCGTTGTAGTTACACCACATGTCTTTACTTTGTCAGGCTTTTCTTTACAATAGGACATCCTTGAGCTTTGGATGAGCAAGTGTTTATTTTCATTTTATACAACTTTCCTATATCAATTAACTGTAATACGACAAATTGACCTTCACCCCCTATGGAGCAGCTGTACTGCAGCAATGATGGGTTTTGCATTCCAGTCATGCTTCTCTGCAAACAGCAAGTAAACGAAAGCCTAACCCTGCATGCTCCCATGGAGAGGGCCAGCGATGAAAATGCATGTAATCATTGAAGGCATGCGACAATTGCCCTGGGCTTTACCTTGGATCAGTGCTCAGAAATGGGGAAAAGGAATCTGGACACGAGGGAGGCAGCCAAATGCATCGGCATCATTGCAACTACACAGCTGCTTGTTAAAACAATATTCCTTGAATATCTAGAGGAAGCAACATCAACAGAGGTTTAGACCTGTTGCACTGTCCGAATTTGACAAGCAGATGCCATTTGAAAAAAAAATGCATCGATTGTTTCCTACTTTATAGTTTTTGGGGTTTAGAGCTGGCACTCCAGGAGTCCGCTACAAAAGACAGGGAGGACAGAAGTTGTGTAGAAAGGATGAGGTTAGCCCTGTCTGCTTCCCAGAGGGCAGAAGCAATTTTAAGCTCTAGTGAGCCAGCTCCCCCAATACCAAAGTCTGAACACAGAACAATACTCAAGTTCATTTATGCACGTCCTCCCATGGCAGCAACTGACTTTTCTCACTTTGTTCTAATACACTAAACAAAAAGGGCACAATTAGGATTGTGGAATCCTCTCAAACACTTTCAATTCAGTTAGTAGTACAGAGACTAGCAGGTAGGCTCTGTGGTTGATAGCTATGCTAAGAGTGCCACTGCTGCTCTCCCCAGGCGATGGCAACTGCACTCATTCTCAGCGGGCTGGCATGCCAGCATTTTTACCAACAGCACTGAAGCAAAGACGTCCTCCTCCTGCTAAGTACAACTTCCCTACAATTGGGGTCACTAATAAAGAATTGTACAAACTGAAACTGTAAAACTAACGGTACTTCCACACAGCAGCTTTTCAAAAATCTTGAAAATCTTGGAGCTGGGCGTGTCTGAAAGCTTGGGGATTTTTTGCGAGCAACGCGACCAACAACCAATCACATGAATATCTCGCCCCCGACATACAAAGCAAAAAACCCCGAGGATTTTATGCGAGCAATATATATATAAACTCCCCAAACAGGCGAAAACCTACCAGTTTCACCCACTGTCTCTGCCACCTCCCTCCATGCCTGGTTCCTCCGGTTTGTATCCCGTTAATAGTTCTGGTCGTAAAGAACCGGGTGATTTGCTACCGTAATTTCTCGTTTGGAATATGAGGAAATGAACTGCGGTCTGGTACTGTCAGATTTGCATAAACGTGATTTGATTGGCTGACGCTTCCAGCTCAGCTTCAAAAGTTGAACATTGCTCAACTTTTGAATCCTGGAAATCCTGGAAATCTTCGCTTCGCTCCCCCACAATGCAGTTCGGCGAAAAGCGAGGCAAAGTGACGTCATCCCCATTCAAAGTCAATGGGCAGAGAAGCGTTGGAAGCGGTGGAAGATTCGTCTAAAGCTGCTGTGTGTAAGGCCTTTTGGATCAAATGAAGCAAAGCTGTGGCTTTCCTTTTAAAGCCAAAGTGTGTTTTCACAGTAGGTTGATGCTACCATGGCTCACAATATGTGGATGGAAGCTTTAAAACAAAGATCAGACTCCCCTGGCTGTTCAAATTGAGCTGAAAAGGATTTGTGCATCTTTAGTTGACTCTAGCCGGAGCACAGCTTTCGCTGTGTTGTGGCAGAGATTTCAGGTGTGGGATCAGGCTTATTGCAGCTGGAGGTGGACAAAGAGCAGCAAAGGGAGTTAACTGCGTCCAATGTGCTTTGACCATCAATACTGATCCACTTAACTTTTCTAATCTCAAGCGAGCCACAAGTGTGTCCCATTTGTATTGTTGGTGTTTTTGAATATAAACCGGTGGACTTAAACATTGTATGGGGATTAGTCCAGCTTAGCTCCATGCCTAATGCAATGATTAGGGATGTTCTGGCACAGCAGATAAGTGAATTTTCACTAGTTACTCAGCAACTGCACTAAACTGTTAAAGACCTTAAGCCGAAATGGCAAAGTCTTGGACAAGACCGGTCTCCATGCAGTAGTGTGTCACCCATAACACTTTAGAGTCTATTCACTTTGAATGCACTACACCTCATACATTAGTTCAACACTAGTCATCAACCATCTGATGAAATAATTGATTGTCCTCATCAAGTTCTAATATATTGCTCACATACAGCACGTCGAGTAAGGTCTTCACACCTAACAGCAAAAAATACAAAGCTATTGCAAAAGAGCTGTGGCATAAAATATATGACTGTATCTATACTGGTCATATATTTATTTGGCTAATGACTCAGCTTTTTTGTAGTATGTCTACATTCTTCAGATGTAGCATTAATCTCCCAACTGAACAGACAATTCGATTCCCTTTTGCATGATTAAACTCCAGATGTTGTCTGAACATTGATGAATGTTTGTGGCTCACCTCATTGTTTTTAGTCAAATTTGTATTCAGTTCTTGGACAGCATATTGATCTTTCTCAGCTGAATGGTATTTTCAAAAGGCTTTTCATTTACAGGCTGAATAACCACATGCGGATCAAGTTTGATTAGTTTACAAAAGAAGGAGCTTGTGGAAAAAGTTGAAGCAGTTCCCCAGCCTGATGATATTTATGTCAAACTGAGAAGTGATATGCCATCGAGTGTGCCATAAAATCTGACCTACAGCGCCTGGAACTGCTCTAAGAGTTGTGGCCCAGCTCGGGAGGCAGAGAAGGCAAACCACATTACTCCTAATACCAAAGGCGTGTGAACACAAGACTGAGCAGTGTATACATCAAAGCAAGGTCTACAACACAGGCACATGTTTAAGGTTAAGGGCAAGAACTAGTGGGTCACTTGGGCATCAAATGAATTTTATAGTGCTGTATGAAGAGAATTTTAAAGTGCGAGTTGGAAATGGACCTTTGATGATAAAATGTCAGCTCTAATTGTGTCAATAATTCCTTTTAAAGTTTTCATTGAACTAATTTTCATTTGGATTCTGTGTGTGAATGGGGTTTATTACACTTTTCCCTATCTTTTTAAGAATGTACAGGCAAACATTGCACAGTATAAAAATATGTATTCTTGGTCGTTCGAAGATTGATCTTCAAATATAGGGGTTTTGAAGCACATTCAGCAGAAATTAAAAGACAGCAATTCAAGCCAAAGGCTAGTCATTAGGCATTATGTGATCAAAAATGTATCCATCAAAGTGGATAGGCGAACAAAAGCCTAGAAAAAAAGAACAGCTTTGAGCACTTTGCATGAAAAAATAAATGGGCAAATGGATTTTTTATTCATCGCATGGATTTTTACACTGGAAAATATGTTGCCAGTGCCTGTTTGTGTTTTGTTATCCTTGTTTTGCAGATGTAACTTGGTCCAAACAGGACTACATGAAATACTTTAATAAAGAATTATACATAACATAAACTCAGTTGTCCAGTAAAGGAACAATCTCGTTCTTCCACTCATTAGTTTGAAATAAATTGCGTTTGATTGCCTCATTTCCATGCATCTTATCTTTCATCAGCCATTCATGTGTATTTCAATCGTGCAGTCCCAATTTTAGAGTTGTTTCTCTCTCAATAATGAAGCAGGTGTCTAATGGGGAGATGTTATTTATGCAATAATTATGAAAAATATCTGTGCCAGATATCTTAGCAGCTAATTACCAATGTAATTGGCATACAGACAAATTGGTACTGTTATTTGATGGATTTCTTTTAGACGAGCTTAAAGCTGATGTAAGAAAAGGTCACACTGCTCATTCGGATGTTATAGCGGGATATATAGTTATATTTTATAATCTACCTCTGGATCAACAAGTTTAACAATGGCATTGTTTTTGCAGCAAAGTGATTTTATTTTTCTGAATGTGACTGAAACTAATAAGGACATATTCAATAATAGTAACTCCATGTTAAATAATAAAATACTGCTGAAGTCCCACAGTAATGTTTTCCTAGTGTTTTCCGGATATTTTGAACATATATGTGCCATGCCAAGTTGAAGGAAAGGCATGGGATTTCCTTTGAGTGAAACAAATGTACCTTAATAGCATAATTGAACTGTGATTAAGCTATGAACCTATTATTTATGCCATTAAAAAGACTTCAGATGACTCAAAAGTTAAACTGACACAGTCATCTTTCGTGCCTCATAAAATCTTCTCTTCTCTTTTGTTCTTTCTCTTAGATTCCATCTGAGTAGGAGGTGGCAACGAAAGACCAAATGCCATGGATGTATTTAATTTCACTTACTGGAATGCCTCCGAAGGCAATGGCACAGAAGTTGTGGAAGAGAGCGAAAGCGCCTACAAGACTGTGGAGGTGGTGTTCATCGTGTTGGTGGCCGGTTCTCTCAGTTTGGTTACAGTTATTGGAAATATCCTGGTCATGCTTTCCATCAAAGTTAATAGGAACTTACAGACGGTCAACAACTACTTTTTATTCAGCCTCGCATGTGCTGACCTGATTATTGGACTGTGCTCTATGAACTTGTACACAGTCTACATCGTAATGGGCTACTGGCCCCTGGGCCCGGTGGTGTGCGACTTGTGGTTGGCCTTGGACTATGTTGTCAGCAATGCGTCTGTCATGAATCTTCTCATCATAAGCTTTGACAGATATTTCTGTGTCACCAAGCCCCTTAGCTACCCTGTCAAGAGGACCACCAAGATGGCGGGAATGATGATTGCAGGAGCCTGGGTCCTGTCTTTCATCCTGTGGGCACCAGCTATTCTCTTCTGGCAGTTCATTGTCGGTGGGCGGACAGTGCCTGAGAGGGAGTGCTACATACAGTTCTTCTCCAATGCTGCAGTCACTTTTGGCACCGCCATTGCCGCCTTTTACCTGCCTGTCATCATCATGATTCAGCTCTACTGGCAGATCTCCAGAGCAAGCAAGAGCCGCGTGAAGAAGGATGTCCGCAAGCCCTCAGCAGCCAAACCAGAGCCCCTGTCGCCTGCTCAGAGGAATAACACTCCAAAACCCAACAATAACAACGTACAGGGGGAGGACACAGGTGGCTGCCAGAGTCAGAATGCCAAGGATGGAGCTAACCAGCACGATGGAAAACTGCAAAATGGCAAGGGACCTTCCTCGACAAATGCTGAGGGAGAAACCGAAGGTGAAGATGTGGCGAGGGAGAACTGCGCTCCTGGAGAAGAGAAGGAAAGCTCCAATGAATCAACATCTGGCAGTGTGGCTGCGTCCAATCAGAAGGATGAAGAGGCGGCACCCTCCGCCGCTAACTCCAGTGCTGAAACGAGCCAGCCCCTCCCCCGCCAGCGAGCCAAGGCAGGGGGCTCCAAGCTGACCTGTATCAAGATCAAGAGTAAATCGCCCAAGGGTGACTGCTACACCCCAACAAACGCCACCGTTGAGATCGTCCCGGCCTCAGAGCGGCAGAATCACGTGGCGCGGAAGATCGTGAAGATGACAAAGCAACCTCCCAAGAAGAAGAAAGGACCGCCATCACGGGAGAAAAAAGTGACCCGCACCATAATGGCCATCCTGGTAGCTTTTGTTGCAACCTGGACTCCTTACAATGTGATGGTGCTTATAAACACCTTCTGCTCAAGCTGCATCCCCAACACAATGTGGACTATCGGCTACTGGCTGTGCTACATCAACAGCACCATCAACCCAGCCTGCTACGCTCTGTGCAATGTCACGTTCAAAAAGACATTCAAGCATCTTCTCCTCTGCCAATATAAAAATAGTAGGTCAGCCAGATAAAGATGGGCCACTTAGGAGGAAGGGTTGAAGTATGAGTTGTCCGTTTGTGTGTGCCATCTGTGTGTTTGTGTGTGTGCCATCTGTGTGTGTGTGTGTGTGTGTGTGTGTGTGTGTGTGTGTGTGTGTGTGTGTGTGTGTGTGTGTGTGTGTGTGTGTGTGTGTGTGTGTGTGTGTGTGTGTGTGTGTGTGTTTGAGTTCTGTGAGCATGATAAAGCCTGCATGAGTCCATTCGACATTAGTTCCCTTCATTTGATCCTTTTGTTTTCCAATTTCCCTCTCAAAAACTGGTTGTAGCACTTCACACAATGTAACTGATTCCAGTTGCGTCAAGATGTGTAGTGCAGAACAGATTAGGAAGGTTGCGCAAAATTAAGTTTTACTCAAGTGTTGTACAGTAAGCTAAACAAATCTGGCTGTGTAAAGCACGGAGCACTTGGGAGTGACATTGAGCTGATAAAAAATGAGGAACGATAAAGAGCAGAGGAAGATCTGCACTGTACGAAAACACACAACTTCAAATGGGAAAATAGGGCTGACTGACTTTTCAAATCTAAGAAGTTTGACGTTCAGTAGAGATACATGTAGATAACTGTACATATCAGTGTAGACTCAATATTTATGTCACATGTGGGTGTGTGCTGACTCTGAGTATGTGTGTACACTCATGTCTGCCCCTCTGCTTACTGTCTGTCTGTGATCTTTATCATGGCACTTCCAAACAGCCACATGTAGAATAAAGTGGGGCAGCTTGCGTAGATTGCCTCTTTAGTGGTTACATTAGGACTGGAAGATATTCCATCTGCTTATGAGCCCCTGTGGGATTGAGTCGCCATCAATACATAATAGATATATAAATATATTAAGCCTGCACTTCAGGCAAATTACATTAAAACAAAACACATTTACTCACTTGCCTTAACTGGTGGTGTTTAGCCATCACGCTGTGTTTGGGTTGATTTTGGTGTCTCAAAATGTCTGCCTCCCCTTCATGCATGAATGCTATATTGTTTGTAGTCACAACATAAAAAAACATTTAAGACACAGTCCATACTGATTATACTTCTTCATGAGAACTATTTTCTAATGAAGAAGTAATCTCTCCCACTTAACTCACTTCAAGAAGTTAACAATAACTGAAAAACTTATGTTATTCTTTACAAGAGTTTAAAATACAAACTTGTTTATCCAATACATCACTACTTCTACTAGCTTGAATCTTACTAACAAACAAACCCCCACTTTGATGAAAAGTTTGGTACCACTCAGGTCATATAGTTATGAAGCTAGGCTAAAGTTAGCCTAGCTTAGCATAGATTCAGGGAGCCGGGGAAAATGGCTAGCCTCGCTCCATTTATCAACACCTCTAAAGCTGAACGATTAACAGATTATATCTTGTTTGTTTTTGTGCAAAATGCAAGTTGTATATCTGTGGGAATATTTATTTTTTGGAAGGGAGCAAAAATTATTGTTGTCTTGTCAACACTGAGGAAATCACTACACCCGGCCAATAAATAATCCCACACATAAAACAACAACTTGACGTTTTGGATTACAAGCTGCCATTAATCATCATAAAGTAGTGCCAAATAGCTGTTAGAACAACAGACAACAATAGTAATGACTAAATAGAAAATGGTGGCATGAGATTGTTCAGTCGCACTCTTTCCTTTGCGTCATATCAGTTTGTACTATTGTTGACAGGATTGAATTTCAGTGGTTATTAGGATGTTTGCTGTTGCTTCTAGTAACCATCCCTCTGTGAGTGAAACAGGTGGCTGGAGCTCAGAGCTGAGGTGTATTACTGTCTGTGGGAAGGCATTGTGTGGTGTGTGTGTGTTTGTTTTTTGGCGTGTGTGGATGAGTGGGAGACATCATATGATTCTGCTGATTAGTAGATTGATGTCACAGCGTGTACTGTACTCACTATACTGATGATGATTGTGAAGTGTGTGTGTGTGTGTGTGATCTTGTGTGAAGCGAGTGTGGGTATACCTGCTGATGTGTGTTTGCTCCAAGAGTGGAGTTTACTTCTGATCACGGGTTAAAACCTTGTGATTTAAATAAGGGCTATTTCTGCGTCTTTAATGTACACATTCGTAATCCATCGTCTTATTTTGAAAATTAACAAGCGGGTTAATTAATTCTATGTAAATCATTTTATTCTTAGATTGAAAACAATAAATAGCTGTGTCTTATTTTAATTGAAAAATAAATTAGAAAAATATCAATTTACTGTAAGACATGTTCAGTGTATCCATGCATGTCATCCATCATTTCAACATATTAGCCAATTCTCTGTTACGGTTATGTATGCTCACCAGGTGGAGTGATGAATATTCAGGAGCATTTGACGTCAGGAGGTTGCCACAGCGGCTGGTAGGGGGGCTTTGCAGAGAATTACTCCTGCACGGAATATCTCCTCAAGGCTGTCTCCTTATACAGAGATCTGGGACAGATCCTATAATGAAAACTCACCATGAGGCTGATCAGATTATAGGACGATGTGGAACACCTACATTTGAGATTAAAGATTGCCCATTACACGCTCAGCTTGTGCTTGCATGCTATGCGCCCATGCCCCACTTAGTGCTCCACTCGGTCCTGATCCTGGTATAGTCTCTACCTCATATATGAGGTCATGAATGTAATGTAAATACCACATTTATTCATTAGCTTGCTCTATTATTAATTCCCTAACTCCTGCACTCATTAAAGCCTTCGTTCCTGCTATGTCAAAGCTCCTAAGTGCAGAGTCAGTACTTGCATTCAAGTGTTGTAGTCACAGAAATACATTAAATGTTCTTTACATTTACATTTATTTGCTGGCAAATAGCAAATGCTTTGTTAAATTACCAGCCATTCATAAACTCTGTATGCATCCCCAAAATGTTGCATTACATCAGTGGTGGAAGAATGATCCTTTACTCAAATCAAAGTTACAATAAATACATGTACAAATAATGTTTAACAAATGATACTCATGCATTTAAAATTGTACTTAAGGTGAGACGACGTCTTTGACAGCTTAAGTCAATTTACAAATCGCAAGAGTTTCTTCCTTTAATACAATTGAAGCCATTTATTGTCAAAATTATTCTTAATATGGTCAGGATAGTTCTAATGATCCTACATGTGACATAGGAAGGGGAGCCAAATAAGAATACATTTTTTAATCCAATGTTTTCTGACCTGGGCAGCCAACGAAAACTGACCATGTCGTCTTATTTCAAAGTGTGTGCGTTTGGTTGGCACTCCGGATGCCTAAATATGGGGATTTCCTCGATATGTCCCATATACATAATTCTGAATGGGCCTTTAGAGTAATTGAACTTTTTCCCCACTATAAGTACCTATACTATTTTGGTATTTGAGTAAATGCACATTCCACCTCTCCTGCTCTTCATAGATGGTCCATGTTTATCTGTCGAGACAGTTTCCGCATGAAGTGAGGCATCCATCCCACATTGACATCCAACCATCCGTCACGTTGATAAGTAGAACCATGTCTGTCTGACATCCGTCACACGTCTCAGTAGTGAGTAGAGAGCCTTTCAGAATATCTGATTAATCTTTGCTAAGCTGTCGTTTGAGTGATACCAGCAGGAGAATAAGTGGCTCACAGCTCAAGCGGTGGTCCAGGGGTCCCAGTTTGAGCAGCTGCTTGAGTGTTTGATGGAAGGTGATGGCAGTTTATCACCTCCTGGAGCGGGAGATGCATCTAAAAACAAACAAAAGTGCTTTCCGTGCTTATCTCCACAGCATGCACTTTAAACGTCAGGAGTAAAGTTCTCAAAAACCCCTTCGCTCCCCCCCTGCTCCTGTTGCCAATATGGTGGACGGATGAGGACAAAAATACGTTGTTGTATCAGGCGTTGTTGCTGGAGGGGGGGGCGTGGGGGTGGATGATGTGAGAGAATGTGGGCTTATGATAGAACGAGTAAGCGTTGTTTCTCGACAGCGAAAGAGAGCGGCTGTCATGCGTGTGAGGGAGATAGCCCCCAAGGTGTACACTTTGTACGTTTAGAAACAGATAAGCTTGCCTTTGTAGTCATGGCTACGAGAAGGGGAGGAGGGGGAGAGACGGGGGCTTGTCAGTGACAAAATCCAAAGCTAGATATTCAGCCTGCACCATGTTTGGAGAAGTCACAGCCGTTCTGTGCAGGTCAGCCAAGGGTTTTGATGCAGGAATTCGAGTGTCCCAGACGAAACCTGCCGCCTGGTGTAAACACAGCGAGATACGGTGCTGTTTACCGGCGCTGTTTACCGTCCCTGCCACGCTTTTATTGCGTCTCATCCTCATATTGTGCAAACAGAATCCACCGTCTGTGCTTATTATATTATAACCGTCTTACTTTACGAGCTCTAATGCATATATGCTCACCTACGGACCATATATTCTGATGTTCATCTGTCTAATATGACTAGAATAAACATTGTCTCCATTGTAATCAACAGACCATCATGTGCCGTCAGAGCTAGCTGGGCTCCTCTTCACACGGCTAATGTCAAAGGGCTAGGCTCCTTTTACGGAGTACGTATGACATTTATCAGAGACAACTTCAAATGTAGGTTTTCTCTGGGCTTCTCTCTCTCTGGGCTGTTGCTGATAATAATTTCGGCAATCTTGTGCAGTCATGCAGAATCTAAAACGCAGCAGCTTGTGCATGCTGGGAGAATTCTAATCGGAAATTATATTTATATCGCCAGATTGTACGGAGCAATTGAAAGTGCCTTATCCAGATAAACATAAAGAAATTGCTCTTTTATCCCTCAATCCCTGTTGTATCTTACAGTAAGTGTGTCTGTGTGTGTGGACGGGGCTGCAGTGTGATGCCCATTAGAGAAAGTGTTCAGCATTTTAAAATTAAGATTTGATGTTTCTCAGCTCTGAGCTCCCAACCCATTGTAACAGCCACTGTGATTGCAGAGTGGACTGAACAATCTAAAATCATCCTCTCAATCCTTTTGAAATCATTTCTCAAAACATGTGACATCATTGACACATTTCAATACATCTAAGAAGCACCGCGGGCTATTTTTTTTGTTTTTTTCATCCAGTGTGTGTGCGTGTGTGCGTGTGTGTGTGTGTGTGTGCATTGACACCCATCATGTGGGAAATTGTGCTTTCCTGTGTGTGTGTGTGTGTGTGTGTCTGCCTTTATACTGAGAGCAGTGCTGTCATTGGTCAGCGTGGGTGTGTGCATGCAGCTTGATGTGCGGTGTTTTATTTGTTCTCAATGGCATCCTCAGCATGAAGACATCAGATTTGGACAAAATATCATGGCACACATCAGGGAAGATGCACACAGTGTAATGTGTATCTCTCTGTCATCACTCCTTTCTCTTTAAAAAATGTCGTTCAATAGCAACAGGTTGCAAGACTCACTTAGACACAGTTTTGTGTGGTATTGGAATACATATAAATACTTATATTGTACATTTTCTATCACATTTAGTATACCTGTTTCTTTTATCACTGTAAAAAGTACAAGTATAATATTCCAAATTAAAATAAGATCAGTGTACAGCAAGAGAGTTTAGTTTTTTTCATTTGAAATTGAAATTGCTATTTAAAATCTTTAAATATATGAGTATTATGGAAAGTATTTAAAGAAAATATTGTTATAAGAGGAGAAGGTATAAATATATGTGTATTTCTGGGGGCATGATTTGCTAAGGATGAATTATTGCTTTGTAAACTGAGCGACTGGATCCAAACTGCGAGGATTTCAAGAATGACTTTTGCTGCCAGATGGGCGAAAATAGAGCAAATTGGAAATCCGAAGATTGACGAAGGCTAAAATTTGCTTCCAGTGACCTAAAGGCTAAGAGGCAAGTGGCTTCATTTTGATTTTACCTGTTAGACACACTCACCTTGGAAAGAATTTGGTCATCTTCTATCTTACCGGACACACTTTCTAACTTTTAGCAACTTTACCATCCTGGGGAAAAGGTTGTTTTTTTGTGTAGAGCAACATAAGTGTTGAGCTTTTTGACCTGATCTGAAATTCAACGGTCAAGATTAACATGTGGATTTAAAACAGAATTAGCACAACAAAAAAAGAGTAAATAAAAAAAAAAAAATGAATAGCCTACTGCAAATGTCAAGTGTACATACAAGTGTTCATTTGCCTATGTACGTAGATGTTCATGTATATTCACTCACTGTGGCTTGTGGCTTCTCTTGCAATAGGTAAACACATTTTACAGTCTATTGTTTGCATTGTATATATCTATATGATAATAAAGTATATGTAATTCAGATGTGGTACATTTGAAATGTACATACACGTCTTTAATAGCTTATATCTGAATGTTTCCCTCATTTATGCTTCTCCCCCTCCCCCACTATGATACTTCCTGTACAGTAACAATGGTATTAATTTCCTTTTTTGAGGCATTCTTAATTGATTATATGTTCTGGACAATGAATCTGAGTGTTATTATTATTGGCCACCTACGACACTGTAAGATGAACTGCATTACGTGGTTACATTGTGCCATATTCTCTCAGAATGGAATTTAAATAAAGATAATATGAAATGTGTTTTTAATATCTGAGTTATTGAATGTGAGGATGCACCGGGTGAAAGAGGAAAAAAACGTTCTAGCTATTTATTTTTCATTCTTTTTTATTTTTGGAAAGAGGATACAAAGGGAATGTTAACTCCAACCGAGGACGTTTTATAGCCAAAAGCTGGAGGGTAAAAATCAGTGGGTATAAATTGAGGTACAACAGAGCAGCAGGAGGAAAAACACTAAAAACAGCAGTAGTTTGCACACTTGTAGAGAAGCTTTTTCATGCAGCCTCCAAACAAAACTAGCTTATGTTTATTCTAACTTGAAATGGAAGAAAAACATCAATAGCATCGAGTAATGGGGAATGCGTTACCAATAACTTGAGACATTGCAAATGCACATCTTTTTTTTCTCCACAAATTAATTAAGTAAAGATGTTTCGAGCTTCACTTTTAGCAAACTGCTTCATTAAGCATGGATCAAAGAGTTTTCCAAATTAGAGTTAGGCTATTCAACTGTATAACAAATCCTATTTATTCGTAAGAAAATAATCCTAGAAACAACATCATTAGGTAAAACACTAGTAAACAAATCTCTTTTCGTATTCCCTACCGCTGAGTATTACATCTCCTATCGCAACATACAAGTTGTTTCTGTTTTTTATCAGGTGCTAGAAAGAAGAAAAAGTTAAACATTTTGTCACTAAAAGACATATTTCAACTGGTTTTGTCAAAGCTCTAAAGGCTCCTACTGTCAATCTACAGGACATACAAAGAGGAACCGTGGTGAATTAGGGACGTGCTTCCCCGCTCTTCTTCCTTCCTCACAGGGAAAAACATCCTCATTAGTCCATTTGGGTGCGATCTCGCTTCTTGCCGTCCTTCTTTTGCTTCTTTGCATCTGCAAAAACAGAAAAGAAAAGGAGTTGCAGCACACAGTGTTTACTTTGGCAGTTTCCCTGCCAGAGGTGGTGTTTTTGCATGTAAACAAATCCCATTGTCTCCATGAAGAGCACATATGCTACGCTTCAGATTTAAATAATCAACCGTATTAGTTTTAATTAGTTATTGTGCATGCCTTCCCAGCCTGCTCTTGGGAATTGATTTGTGGTCTGGTGTACGCCCCATGAAAAAACGCTTTATCAACTTCCCGCAACAGTGACTCTGTACCTGGCAGCCAGGACAGAAGCCACAGTCCATGGCTTCCCTTTCTGCTTTGCGGCCTCTCCGCTCTGCTTAACAGGAAGAGAGCACAACCTGCAGCCGTTTGGCTAGCTAGCTCCTGGCTAACGGTTTTGGTTGACTGTCAATCTTCCTGGCTGTTTGTGTATCTGCCTCATACCTTAATTTGCATTTCGTAAATGCTCAGTAGGTAACGTTTGGCTGAATTTGGAGTCAATTTGATATGGGGACACTCCATTGAATATGATTTGCATATTTATTCACATTTGTGTTATAGGAAGGTAGGTAATGTATGTGATGCTTGTATGCAGTTTTTGTTGAGACAAGCTAGTTGTTTCCCACTGTTTGCGTTTGTTTGCTATGTTTAATAAGCTTGCTGCTAAAAGTAGATTCATATTTAGGGTACAGACAGAATGGTGGTCTCAATCTGCTTGCATTATTCTTGGCAAAAAGCAGAAATTTCCCAAAATGTGGAACTTTTGTGGACATAAAATAGAACATAAAAATGAGCTGCCATCAAAAACGTCAATCTGTCACACCATTATGGTTTACTAGGGTTATGGTTAGCCTTAATGTTATTTGTAACACCTGCACTTTTCAAGTCGAAAGGGCCAATGTCCTTTTTGGAAAAATTGTGAATAAAGGTGTGCGTGCAACTTCTGTCCATCTAAGTACATCATTTCTAAAAGATATTATCATAACTTTGCAGTTCTTAAACGCTTGCCACATCTTATATCTTACTTCAAGTAGTGTTTTATTGCTAGCTCTTCCTTGAAAGTTTCGTTTCTGTAAAAAGAGAAATAGTATAAGAAAAGATCAAATAAATCGTGATTTTATTTTTTTCATGCAATGGATTATCTTAAAAGAATCTCAAATCCTCTAATGACATGCCGGCAAGTAGCTATGAAAAGATTATAATTAGATTTCAGTTGAGTTTCAGCCGTTCAACATTCAGAGGGTGTTTCTCAATGTCGAGTAAAGCTGCTCCAGAGCCACTATTTCAAGCATACTACGTCATCGAGTGTCGCCGAAGTACTGTTCCAATGTCCAGTATACTCGGAATTCTACCGAGCCCGGCGTACTTAGTTTGGAGAAATTTCGAGGCTACACATGTGTAGACTCCGCGGTCTTAAAATTCCCACAATGCTTTGCGCACGGACCAATTTCTCCAAATCTGTGGCGGAAAATGTAAGGCGGGGCCTCTCATATTACGCACACCTGCACACTTGCTAGCCTGTTCCACTCTTCGTTTTCCGAATGCTAGGAAGTATTCTTGCCTCGCTTCTGAAGCAAGTCGCTCGGAAGACATGTGCTACCAAGCAAGCGTATTCGACATTGAGAAACACCCAAAATGTTCACTATGAGAAATCTCTTCCTGCAAACTTCCGTAGGCAAACATATTTTGACGTGCAAAGCGCTCTAGCCCATGTAAATACGGAAATTGCTCTTCCATTCCATTTGTTTGCTTTTTAAAATGTGTTTGAATATTTTCTCTCTTTCATTTTTCTTCTCTTCGCCCTGTTGTTTTTGTCAGCATATTCTGCTCCCCTGGGAGAGAGATGGCAGAAAGGATTCAATCCCTCTCTTTCTCTGTCTCATCTTTCTCCATAAGTGAAATGAGGATTTTATATCCAGGCTGGAGCACTTGCTGCTGCATTTGCTCATTACACGACACTGCTTGCTCTCCTCTCTGCCTCTGACACACACTCATAATCACGCTGGGCTGCCTTCTCCGGCTTTAAACTGCCCTGAGCCGAAAAACAAACCAACATTTTTGGCCAAGACGAGAGCAGCATCTGACTTTTTGGCATTTGTTATGTGTTGGAATGTAGCCATCCAAGTACATCTGCTTAAGTTCTGGGGTATATTTACAATTCCCTGCATTTAAAGAACTATTCTACCTCAACAACATTTCATAGGGAAGAAATATCCTCCACTGAACTTATTTCACATGTATAGTAACTTCCAGATGTAAATAAAGTATAACAAATTAGCATCTCGACTGGCTGTAACATCAAAATACTGCATGGAACATGGATGCATTAATAACCTAAATATATCCGATAGCAATCAACAATACAAGAGGATACTTTTTACACAATTTTAATAATTTTACCATGTTAAAAATATGGCATAGAAACGTGTCATATTCCAGCTTCCTAGAAGTGATGATTGCTAAATATCCTGTCATTTGTCAGCTGTCACCTGTCTAACAAATGAATTAACATTACAAAATAAAGTAAATGTAAAAAGTGCAATGTAGTTTTCAAAAGCTGACAGACACAGCTAATGCAAAAGTATTTTAACTTTAGATTGATGTAGTATACTAATTAACCATTTCAATTGAACAAGACAGTTGTTCAGAGTGAGGTATCTGTCTTTGGACACTTTCCACTTTTGTAGGACAGAAACAAGGAGTGGGTGTAACAATAATAGTCGGTGTAACTCTGAATGATGTCTTTATTTAAAATGGGAACACCACCTGCCTGTCCAGAAAGAATGACACAAACAAACAAATTCCCGGATTCATCTCAACAGAGCCTTTTGTTTAACCTGAAATGAACTCTGGCATCCAAACACCTCAAACGCGCTGCTCCCTGCTGTTCTGCTGAAAGGGAAGGCGGGGGGGGGGGGACCTTGAGCTTTCTGCAGGCATTCATAATGTTTCATTTCTGTCACTCTTTGTTCTCTCTTTCGCTCCACGGGGTCTGCGTTTCACCTGTGCTCGACAGCAAAGACATGCAACTCTGAATCTCAGATCGCTCCCTGAGCACCTCTTAGCATTGTCTCCAGAATCTGCACATGACAGATGCTACCTCCATCACAGAAAACCTGCTGCAGTCAGGGGAAACCAATCTCCCAAACCAAGGTGGCTGTTCAGAATTGCAGATTTGGCCCGGCAGATCTCTGCTCCCAGCCGAGGGTTAGATAGCCTCTCCTCTCTCCATCTCAGTCACTCCAAAGCTAAACATGTCTGGGGTATTTCATAAGCTCCCTGATCCCGCTGCTGTGGACTGTATCTCTGCCATCCCCTGACACAGAAAAGCATTCACGATTCCCCTACCTGTACACACCTCATTGTGAACAGCACCCCCTCTTTCTTTTTCCCAGTAACCCCTTTGCTCGTCGGGGCTTATCTTCCAACTGGCAGACGCGTAAAATCATACGGTGCATAACATGCAATCACATTGCCCCGAAAGCAGGTCTCTCTTTCCCACTGCTTCCCTTCATCGTGGTTACTGTCATCCTCGCTCTGCTTCTCAGTTTGCGCTCAGCCCGCACACCTCTGTCACTCCGCATCCACGCGTCTGGCCTTCATAGGAATTGATGCACGCAGGTAGGCAGCGATGGTTGCAAATCAAACATATTTTCTCTTGCATACCTACACAAATAATCCTGTATCTAGATATTTACATTGGAATTAAATATAGAAAGCAAAGCAGTCAGTGTAATATGTATTGTATATATGTGTCAAAGGGATTGTAACTATTGTCTTGTCTTGAGTGTTATTCTCTAACGCTAACCCTAACCCTATAACACACAGTTGCCATTTGTTCGGTTGATTTTAGGGAAGTGGCTTTAGAGGAAGGCCTAAAGGGACTAGCTGACAGTTTTGGCAACTTTCTTGTTGGATTTAGCGACGTTTGAAACTAGTGCTGTTAGATGCTGTCATTTGAAAAAGGTTGGCAACATTGATTTGGGTTTTCTGGTTGGATAATTAAAAAAGTATAGCTGGCTGGCTAGCTTCTGCAACTCCTCAAGCTCAACAACTAAAACAAGACTTGTTGATATGAGATGTCCACAGTTGCACAGTTCAAAGGCAGATTGAGCAAATGTGCCTTTGGGT